CTCCTGCTGATGATTGATTAACCTAAATAAAAAAAACTTTTGGGTCCAAATGAACCAATATATGAACCCTAGCAGTCCCCAGAAAGATCATATCCGAAATGTAATCTTCATCCACGTGCATCATATCTAAGAAAACAATTTGATATATTATTTGTGATCATTACTTCTTTCAAACACTTAAATTTTGTTCATATATACTTTAGAGCTTTGTCTATTAATATCATTAATTTTAAGTAAAAAGTTTTCAATTTTGTGTGTTTCTCTCATTTGTAATCTTTTGAGAGACTACATGTACGTTTTAATAGGTGAAAAATATTATCTTATAAGTTTTATGATAATTAATAGTGTTTTTTGTCAAACACTATTAAAAAAATCGGTAATTGTTAATTTTCAGCAACAATTTAAAAATTTTTTTACAAAAAATGTCACTAATTATAAGTTTTAGCGACAGTTTTAAAAAAAAATTACAAAAAAATTTCACTAATTTTCAAATTTGAACAATGGTTTAAAAAGTTCGTCACAAAAAAGTCACTAATTATAAATTCTGGCGACAATTTATAAAAATCATGACAAAAAAAAATTAATTGTTAATTTTTAGCAACATATGCAAAAATCTTCAAAAAAAAAAAATATATATGTTTAACGACAATTTTATTAAAACTTATTTTCAATAAAATTTGATCATAAATAATCCAAATATTGCGACTAGGAACGGCAACGGGGCGGGGCGGGGCGGGGTAGGGCCGGGGACTACACTCCCCGTCCCCGATTCCCGAAGCTACAAAATTCCTCGTCTCCAACCCCGATCCCTGACAGGGAACCCATCCACCTCCCCCGTCCCCGCCCCGGCCCCGTAACGGGGATCGGGTTTTCCCGACCCCAAATAATCCCCATACAAAACAACAACAATCAACAAAGAAGATGAAGAGTAGAGAGGAGAGAGAGAAGAGAGAACCACAGATCTGTTCAAAAAAATCATAGATCTGTTCAAAATAACCACAGATCTGTCAAAACCCTAATAGAAAAAATTTAGATATGTTCAACAGATAAAACCCTAACAACAAATCAGATTTGAATCCATATATATATATATAAATTGATCAAGATTTTTCAAAAAAAATCATCGATTTGTTCAAAAAAACCACAACACAAAAGCGAATGAGGATGGCGATCGGTGGTGCTGTGATGAAAGGAGTGTTGTGCAACAAATGATGGCAATCAGTGGTGTGCGACGACATTGGTAGCGGGATCGGTGGTGTGCGACGACGGTTGTAACCGGATCGGTGGTGTGCGACGACAGTGCTAGTGAGAGAGAGAGAGTGAGAGATGCTGAGAGAAAGGAGATCGCTGGCGGCGAGTGAAGAAGATCGGCAGTGAAGTAGAGAGAGAGAGAGAAAAGAGATGAGGGATTCAATGAAAAAGAGAGGCTGAAAATGAAATTTATAAATATATTATATATACGGGCCATGTTCGGGGATTATTCGGGGGTAGGGCCGGGGTTGGGGAGCCTATCCCTGTCCCCGGCCCGAAAATCACCGGAGATTTAATTTTTAATACCATCGCCGGCCCTACGGGGAGTAATTTTCGGGAAAAACCCATTCCAATCGGGGTCGGGGGTCAAGTCCTTATCGGGTTGGGTTCAAATTATCATCCCCAATTGTGACCTATTAATAATTTATTCTAATCTTTTATCATATTCAGACGTGGCCAGAATCACATGTTCAATAGTGTTCTAGATTTATTCCATACCATTTTTCTACCTCACTCAAGTTTAGCTCATATAATATAAAGAGACAATTCCAATAACTCTTAACACTTTTAAAATAATATTTAAAATGTAGAAGAACAGTAAGAAGGGCTGACTTTCCTTTAATCCGTGATCAGATTAAAGAGTACTGTTGAATTTGTGGCGGTACATTACGGATTCCGTTTTAATATTCTGAATCATTTTATTTGTAGAACTCATCGAGTACTATATGTCTATTAAAAATTACATTGATCGGATATCAATAGTTATATGATCAAATCAGTTTTGTATAAAAAAAAATAGACGAGTTCTACACATTGAACGGTTTAGATTATCCGATCAACGTGTTTCTTTACAGCCATATAGTACTCGACGAGTTTTACACATTGAATGATTCGGATTATTAAAACGGTGCCTGTGGTGGGCTCTCACGAGCCCAACAATACTCTCCAATCCGATCACAGACTGGAGGGAAGCCCAGCCCCGATAAGAAATTGTAAATAAGTTTATAAATAAGCTACAAACTACTAAAAAAATGGTAAATCAAGGTGAAAAAAATCAACATAATTATAAAAAATTCAAGATATATTTTTTTGTTTTTGATGATAATCACTATTGAGAAGGTGATGTCTTATGTTTCTGAGTTTTTTTTTGTTGATTCTTTTTCCTAATGTATCACAATATATGAGTCTTTAGGAGGTTCAAAGTAAACGAGACCGTAAGGACTGGTGGTTGAGATCTGTCGGATAGACCCACTTTCAATCAATTATACTCCTAAACAAATGAACAACGTATAATTAGGATAGTTTGGAGTGATTTAAATAAGGCCTCTTTTTAATTTTTTATGAAATGTGAGTTGGGTATGAATTGGGTTTGAAATGATGTGATAAAAAGGTAATGTAACTTAAATAAGATGATGTGACTTAAATAGGATAGTGACTTTTTAATTTTTTTAAGTTATGACAAACAAGACCTTACTCTTAGCCCCGATTTGGTTTTCCTTTTAGGCTAAAAAATACAAAAGAACAAAAAAAAAAAAAGTTAAAAAAATCAAAAAGCCAAAAAATTACAAAAGGACAAAAAAAAAATTTGTCATTCTAAAGTCAAAAAGCCAAAAAAGCCAAATAAGAAAACCAAATAAACAAAAAAGTTCCAAGCTAAAAAAGTAAAAAGAAACTAAAAAGCTAACTAAAAAAGTCATTGCCAAATGATCCCTTAAAAAATAAGCAATAAGTATGATTTTAAAAAGGAAGCCTTTTTGATAAGTCTTCTTACTAAGAGTTTTATTCCATCTAATTCATATATATATTTTTTTGACTATTTCATTAGATCCTATTTGAGGTAAGAAGACCAAAACATCCACAATCTCTCCTGTCCCTATTAATGTTGATATTTAATGTTGATAATCATTATATTTTGATAGTTCCCATGTATTAGGATATTGAATGTCATTATATTCATATTAATTTGAAATGAATTTCTGTCATTGTGTTGTTAATTATATCATGTAATTGAAATAAATATTCATATCATTATATTCATTTTAATTTAAAATGAATTTTTCTCATTGTGTTGTCAATTACATAATATGAATATTCATACTAAAACATGCGAATGTAAACATTCACATCACTACATGTGAAAAAGAATGTGTTGCCAATTAAAAATATAACATGTTGTGAACGTTTACATTACTACATTCGATGGGAGAGATTTTTTTCAAAAGTTGTTGTGAATGCTCATATCAGATGAGAAAGAATGTTCACATTATTTTTAATGTATTGTCAATTAAAAATAAAAAGGTTCATATGTTGTGAACGTTCACATCACTACATTAGATGAGAGAGAATTTTTCAGAAAAGGGTTGTGAACGTTCACATCAGATCAGAGAGAATGTTCACATTATTTTTAATGTGTTGTCAATTAAAAATATATTTACATTATATAATAATATAACATAATAATATCAATGTTATTTAATTTGTGTATGAATTTTTCTATGCCTTGATCCTTTCCCCTCTCTCTCCTCCCCTAATATTAAATATAAGGGTATAAGAGTCTAAGAAAATAGTGTAAATTAAGAAAAAAGACTTTATGGAATAAAAGTATAAATACATCGAATTAAGTGGATTAAAAAATTTCTTCATTAACTTTTTAGGTTATAACACTCTAAATGAAATTTATCAATAAAAATCTTTTTTAAAAATAAACTGTTACTCCCTCCGTCCCAAAATAATGGTCCCTTTTAGGGAATTCAACTTTTTTTGGTAGTACAATTATTGTATTTTTAAAAAGTTAGTTTTCCAAAATTACCCTTTGATAGTACACTTTTTTGAGAATATCAATGTCATAATTGTACTTTTTATATTATTTATGAATTTAAAAGAAGGGGAAAATGGAAAATTTATATTATTTTTGTACTTGATTTTTGAAGAGGGACTAATATTTTGGGACAATGAAAAATGGAATAAGGGACTAATATTATGGGACGGAGGGAGTATTTTTTTTAAGATAATGTTATCCAATCTCATGAATTAGATTTTTTTTTATATAAATAAAATACTCAAAAAACATTAAAAGTTAAATTGTTCAGATTATCAAGTAGACTCCGAATAAATCTGCATCTCCTTAATTGGATCCTTCAAATCCAATTTCTGAACTGGATGGACGCTTCATCTAAGATTTTTGGGTACACTACAAATATACCCTCAAGATTTACTTAAAGTATATATAGTTTTTCGCGATTTAAAAAATTACAAATACCCCTTTATCATAATTTTTTATTTAACAGAATTAACTAAAAAAATAAAATTCATAATTGATTTCCTATATAATAATAAAATTACCTAAATTATTAATTGAAACATATTTCTAACATCATTAAAAACTGTTAATTAATTTCATGATTTATTAATAAAAGGGTAATTTTTTATGAAATTAGAAATTTCATGGGTGAAATGTAATTTTTAAAATCATAAGAATAATTCGTATTTTAATCAAATTTTAAGAGGTATAATTATAATTTATTCCATTTTCCATCAATCTCCTTCATGTTCGCTTACTCGGTTACCTTTTTCTTCAACTTTCACTTTTATTTTTGTATTATTTTTTATGTTCAGCTTAGCTTACTCGTTTTCCTTTTCATACTATTCAAATAACAATTTCACATTAAAATAAATAAATAAATAACAATGTGGCCACACACTTTTATTTAAACATATTCCTATTTTCATACATGCTATATTCCTATGCTTAAACATATTCCTACATGTTGAATTCAAGAACCTTGGAGGAAATTCCCCTTTCCATCACCACATAATATAAAGACCCTTATGTGCAGTGTTATATATAAAGACATACGAGAGGCCTCTGATCTTAAAATCTCTTATCAAACATTCTGACCAGTCTCTCACACCTTCTCTCACCTTCAATATACTTACCTATCAAATTCAAACATGAAGCAACAAAGCAGCTCCATTTTCATTTTGGGGTCCATTCTCATTTTGCTTCTTTTCTGGCAAACAACATCAGTCAAAGCTCAAGAAGTTGGTAATGGCCTACACATATATATGTGCTTGATTGTTTTCAATTCATTTGATTTTTGTACCTTAGCAATATGTATTGCTGGTTTTGATGTATTCAATGTGTGAATTGAATGGTGCAGAGGATGAGAACGAGTTTGATTATGCCAAAGGAAGCGAAAAGGGTCCGGAGCGATGGGGAGAGATAAAGGAAGAGTGGGCAGCTTGTGACCATGGAGAAATGCAGTCTCCAATCGATATGGTGAGCCTACACATATATATGTGTTTGATTGTTTTCAATTCATTTGATTTTTGTACCTTAGCAATATGTATTGTTGGTTTTGATGTATTCAATGTGTGAATTGAATGGTGCAGAGGATGAGAACGAGTTTGATTATGCCAAAGGAAGCGAAAAGGGTCCGGAGCGATGGGGAGAGATAAAGGAAGAGTGGGCAGCTTGTGACCATGGAGAAATGCAGTCTCCAATCGATATGGTGAATAGGAGGGTGAAAATAATCAGAAAATCAAGGGAGTTTGTGAAGAACTACAAGCCTTCCAATGCAACTGTCAAGAACAGAGGTCATGATATATCGGTGAGGAAGAAATTACAAACCCCCCGCCCCAAATATGAGCCCTCCAATGCAATTGATCTTCCTTTGTTGACAGAAGACATGAATTCATGTTTTTGTTACATGGGTTGTTGAAGTAACTAGCTAGCAGTCACATCTTTTATATTTATACTAAATTTCATGTCCATATATGTAGGTTCAATGGACTGTTGGTCAAGCTGGATCAATTAAGATCAATGGCACTGAGTACCAACTCCAACAAGGCCACTGGCACTCCCCTTCAGAGCACTCCATCAATGGCAGAAGGTCTCTCTCTCTCTCTCTCTCTCTCTCTCTCTCTCTCTCTTTCTCTCATAGTAGTATTTTAGTATGTATCAACAACTAAGGAAGGGTACAATTAATGTTTGTGAATAATAATAATAATAATAGGTATGCAATGGAACTGCACTTGGTCCATGTAAGCCCACAAGAGAACGGAGAGGATAAGATTGCTGTCATTGGGGTCCTCTACAGGATTGGTCGACCTGACTCTTTTCTCTCTCAGGTAATCATATTCATTATCGAACCTCACAAACATGGGCAGAGCATGATGTCAAATGACAAATCTTTTTTTCTTTTTCTTTTTTTTTTTTTCCCCTAAACTTTTACTACTCGTCAAATTTGATGCATTATATGAACTATGAAAATCTTGTAAGCTTGTCAGGGAAATTAATTAGGAATAGATCCTTGTCCTCATTTTGATGCATTCACTAAACCTTGTCCTCATTTTGACCTGAATTAATTTCTAGGTGACATTTTTTAGAAACATTGGTTAGATTTGCTCATGTTTCTTAAACTAGGAATAGATCCTTCTGCACATTGCCCACCCAGTTTATCAAAGCGACCAACTATATTCATTGGTTGGATCTGGTCATGTTTCTTACACCACTTTACTTTGTATTGATTAATTTTTTTTTTGTTTAAAAAATAGGACAAATTATACTGGTAGTCCCTGTATTTTGTTTTTTACGTCATTTTGATCCCTATACTTTCAATTGATTTAATTTTGATCCTTAAGTCTTAATTTGATCCAATTGATAATGTCGTTAGTACTTTTGATAGAAAATTATCACTGAATTAGCTGAAGTTAACTCACTGACTTGAGTAAATTTATAATTTATTTGAAGTTAACTCACAAATATCACTTGTGTCCATATTTTCTATTAAAAAAAAAATACTAAGAGTTGTAATCAATTTGACCAAATTGAAATAAGTAACAAATTCAAGGTTAAAATCAAGCCATTTGAAATTACAATGACTACGGGCATAATTTGCCCCAAAAAATGATGTATAATTTAGATTCTAAGTCTTATATAATTTTATTTCTTTTTTGTTTTTTTTTTGGTTTCTAATAGGTTGTGTTAACTTTGATTTTCAGTTGATGAGGAATATATCAGATATGATTGATAAGAAGGAAGAGAGACACTTTGGGGTGATTGATCCAAGAGAAATTAAAATGGGTGGTAAAAGATATTACAGATACATGGGATCACTCACTGTTCCTCCTTGCACTGAAGGTGTTGTTTGGACCATTAATAAAAAGGTAAGGCTTCTCATTAACCTTTAAGGTTCCTAACTAGCCATAGCTTTTACCTGGTCCTTTTCTCTTTCAAAGCCTGTACAATGACATCTTTAACCTAATTTCAATTATTTTGAATTAGGTGATGACTGTATCAAGAGAACAAGTGAAGTTACTCAGGGAGGCTGTTCATGATGTAAGTAGTTATAACTGTGTTACTCACTACAAGAAAAAACACATTTGGCTTTAGTCGCCAAAAGTCTACTTTTTAGTTTTCCCGACTAAATTTTTTAGTCGCCGGTTTTGTCGCGAAAACATGGTCACCGGAGGTATTGGCGACTAAAAAAGTTTTAGTCGGCAAAAAACAGGTCTTTAGCAACCAAAGGTTTGGTCGCCAATAGTCAATTACACTTTTTAAAATTATACATTTAGCGACTAATCTTTTAGTCGCCAATAGTCAATGAAACGCCGACTGAACCGTTTAGTCGCCAAAAGAAACACTTTTGGCGACCAATAATTTTTGTCGCCAAAGGTTGTTCCGTGAAAAAAAAAACTGCTAACTTTTTTACTTTTTCCGAGATTTAAACCACCAACCTTCCACATTCTAAACCTTTAGCAACACACTCTCTCCACTATGCCACTACAACACCACATGAATATATATGCAACATATATTATTTATATATTATATTGACCTGTATTAATATAAAACTATATATATAAACGTAATTATTTTTATTCAATATAATTTATGTAAAAAAAAATTATTTACTAAAAAAAAAATGAGAGCACTTTTGGCGACTAAATCTGTTTTTTAGTTGCCAATTCTATAGTTTTGGCTACTAGTTATTTTTTAGTCGCTAAAAAAAATAATTCCCACCTAAAAATAACCACTTTTGGCGACTAAACTTATTTTTAGTCGCCAAAACCTCCACATTTGGCGACTAAACTGAATTTTAGTCGCCAATTGTACACTTTTAGCTACTAAATTTTTTTTAGTGGCCAAAAAGCTTCACTTTTGGCTACAAAATTTATTTTTGTCGGTAAAACACGTATAATCGGCGACCAAACTATTTTTTAGTCGCCAAAACCTATACTTTTGGCTACTAAATTTTTTTAGTCGCCAAAAACCTTCACTTTTGGCTAGTAAAATTTTTTTGGTCGCTAAAACCCATATAATCGGCGACTAAACTGATTTTTGGTCGCCAATAACTCCGCATTTGGCTACTAAATTATTTTAGTCGCCAAAAGTCTAATTCCATTTTAGGCGCCGATTCTGCTACTTTCAGCGACGAAAATTCATTTTTTAGTCGCCAATTCTGCTTTTTCTTGTAGTGACTTGTATAGATAATTTACACAAGTAACAGAATAGAGAGTGAGTGGATTTTGTGTTGCATCCTCTCTTTCTATTGTACAAATTTTTGTGCAAGTAGACTCTTTTAAGAATTTTGTTAACGAATGTTCTAAACAAATCCGATCACTACTAGGATTAACTCTAGCTCAGTGACCTCTCATGGCTTGCACACACACACTTTTTATGTGAGCTCTCATATTGGCTTTTGAGTTGTACATTCTCATGTAGCTTATGATCATTGATTATATTTGATCTGCTTTGCTCATGATTTCCAGTGTCATTTTTTTTTAAAATTGCAAGTTCGCAAGATTCATGAATTGCGGATTATTTCATCTTAGTATTCCCTTTTGGCTAAATATGATCATCTATTTTTGTTTCAGATCTCCTCTCTTTATTTTGAGTATTGTGTTGTTTTTTTTTTTTTTTTTTTTTAAAAAAAAAAAAAATTTGGCTTGTTTTTTTTCTTTCTTGGCTCGAGCAACAATTGCCTCGCTCGAGCGTGCTTTTGCCACTGCATTAGACCTGAGAACATGTTTTTTTGGCTCGACCGACCCATTCTTAGCTCGAGCGACCGCCTGGGATTTTTTAGATCGCGCTCGAGCGAGAAAGTATTCGCTCGAGCGACCTGTCGCGGTTCAAATTCTGAATCTGTGCCTATTCAGTTCATTTTTTCCCCCCCTTTCGTCTTTTCTCTCTCTCTCTCTCCCCTAGGGTTTTTCGTGGTTATCTTTGCTGCGATCTTCTGCTATTTTCCCTCTTGATTTCGGAGTTTTTTTTGGTTCTTCATCTTCTCTCTCCGTTTCTGGTAAGTTTTTTTTTTTCTTTCTTCGTTTTATTTATTTATTTATTTTCGTATGGTACTTGGGTTGAGATGTGGTTGTAGTTTTTCTTTGTTAGCCTCTAGGTTTTATTTTTGTTGGTTGTGGTTCTTCCCTCTAATTTTCGAGCCTCACTCTTGCATCTAGGGTTCATGATTTTGTCTATTGCACTCTCCATTGTGCTTAGGGTTTACCATTGGGGTTTTGTTAGAGTTTAACATTGGGGATTTTATTTACATATACATATATTGCCATTATGTGATTGTAATCTGTTTTCTCTCTATTGTTTCATACATTGATGTTTCGATTCTATAATGGCTGTAATATCTTGTTTTCTCTGTGGCTGATTGTTTGTCTCTTTAGCACTGCTACTCATTTCATTTCTTTTATGCTACTGTTACGAGTTTCACTACTTTTCTAACCCCTGTTGGACTAATTTGTTTTGACTGGCTCTTTGTGTTTTGTTTTGGGGGTTTTCTGGTGTTGTTTATTGGATGTTTCTTGTCTTTCTGGGCTCTTGTCTATGTTGCTCTGCTTGGGTTGTATTAGTCATGGCCGAGTCATCCAAGCGCCGTAAAGCTACGGTTTCTCGTTCTTCCTTCAACTCTGAAAAGTTCCCATCTAAAGAAAAATCTAAGTTGTTTAGGGAGTCTTTTGCTTCTCGTAAAGCACATTTAGAGTGCAATATCCTCCCAAATGCCTTTGAGGTTCTTCCCATTCGGTCTTTATTTGATTCGTTAGGCGGAGATCAAGTGTTGCATTTCTCCGGGCCACAAAATTTGAGTCTCATCCGGGAATTCTATTGCAATATCCATTCCATTCGCAAAGAACTTTCGGCATCCTTTGAGACTTGGGTTAGGAAGAAGTCACTTGTTATCACTGGGGATGTGTTTTGGGTTTTACTTGGTCTTCCTGAAGTTCGTAATTGTCATTTTCCGTTTCTTACCCGATCAGGTGTTGATTTTAATTGTGTTGCTTCTGAGTTATGTGGTGTTGACCGGACTTGGATCACTGGGGATCTCCTTCAGCAAAATGAGTTGCTTCTTAGGTTCCGTCTCTTGAATATCATCGTGTGTGCGAATCTTTATGTCACCACCCATTCCTCGCATATTACTCAAGACCAAGGTTATGTTCTGTATTGTATTCATCACCGACTGCCTATTGACCTTCCGGAAATGATTGTTTCAAAAATGATTGGGGACTCTGAGGGCAGAAAATCTTTGGGGCTTCCTTATGGGTGTTTTCTTACTCGTTTTCTCACTGCCCTTGATGTTCTTGTTTTTGATGATGATGAGTTTGCTTACCCTATCAAACCCATTACTAAATTGACAGTCTCTCAGAGTCAGGCTCATGTGAGGGGGAGTGTGTCGGGGGTTGGGAGTTCTGGTGCAGGTAATGATGATCCCCTTGCCGAGGATGAGGAGTTTGAGGCCGCCAATGCCGGTGCCCCTGATCTTCCTGAGCTACGTCCTCGCTCATTTCGTGGCCAGCTACAGCACTTTGAGCAGTCTGTTACACGTCGCCTTGATCTTTTGGCTACACGTCTTGATGCTTTTGATGGCCGCCTTGATGAGCAGAGTGCCATGCTTGCTCAGATTCTTTCTCTTCTTTAGTTGCAGCAGCCACCACCATCTTCTCCTTCTTAGCTTTTGGCATATGCTTCTCTTGGACAGTTTTTGTTCTTACTTTGGCTAGTGTTTTTTTTATGCTGTATCTGCCTGTTGTTGTTTTTGGGTCACTCCCGGACAAAAAGGGGGAGTAGTTTTGGGGTACTCACTCCTGATTTTTTTTTGCAGATGAGCATTTGAACGTTTATATGATGTGGCTATTATTGATATGGATATTGGGTTTATATGTTGTGGCTATTATTGATATGGATATTGGGCGCTATATGTTTTTATGTTATATCTTGATGGTTTGTTTTGTTATGTTACATTTCAGGTTTGATGGAGTTAGATTTCATTACAGGTTTTCCTCAAGTTTTGTTTATTGTTTCAAGATGTTAGTTCCAGTTTGTTTTGAGATTGGTTGCATAGTTGGTTTGCCTTGAGTTGTAATCATCTTAGCTAGTTCGTTTGCTTTGAGTTGTAATCATTTTAGCTAGTTCGTCTGTTTAGGAAATTGTGTTAGGAAGTTTTGTCCGGGTATTGACAAAGGGGGAGATTGTTAGGTCCCTAAGTCTTGTCAATTCCACGAACAAACTTGTGTAATCGAGTTGTAATTTCTGTGCTGCTTTGTGTTGCTCGCTCGAGCGAAGAAGGCCTCGCTCGAGCGAAGGATTGCGTCTGGCTGCAAACCTGAAAGAGGTCATTATGCGCTCAAGCGAAGCATTGGAGGCTCGAGCGAAGAACTGCGTCTGCATACAAACCTGAAAGAGTTTATTCCTCGCTCGAGCGAAGACTTTATGGCTCGAGCGAAGGTACTTATGGAAGTCACGCGAGATAAGCTTCTCGCTCGAGCGAGATAAGCTTCGCTCGAGCGAGCTTCAGAATCCGGAATTCTATAAGTAGTTGGTTTCTCCAAACTTTAGGATTACTTTTTAGATCTACTTTGAGATTTTCTGAGGTTTTCTTCTGGAGAGATTTTTGTGAGTTTTCCTTGATGTTTTGAGAAGAGTACTTCACCCATGATCTAAAATACATACATCAAGGAGTTGGCTTCTTTAAATCCAAGAGAGAGTTCTCTTCGGTGGATTCCGAAGATTCTAGCGTATAGTTTTCAAAAGGCGTTTGATTCTATATGTGAGTGAGGTTGTGGAATCAACTTCAAGATTGATAGTGCGTGCAATAAAAATGTATAACTATTTTAAATTTCATTAACAAAGGCTTTTTTGTGCACTCGTTAACAAAAGAATTTTTTCCCCAAAATATCTAATTAAACTTTGTAAATAATTACTTCATTACTGATTTAAAAAAAAAAATAAAAAACGATACATTTCAATAACATATTTTGAAAATATCTCAAAAATGAAGTATAGGATATAGATTTAAATTTGGTGTGATGTGGAATACATTAAAAATAAATTTGATCTGCACATTTTATTTTCAAAATACATTTTTGTTGATTTAATTTATGATATATAGAGTGCAATAAGTAATTATTGCTTTAACTTGTTATGATTATATTTCATGTCAATAGTTCTAAATTAATGAAGGCATTGACATATATTTCATGATTGATTTCATTTGCAGTACGCAGAGGAAAATGCAAGACCACTACAACCACTCCACGATCGAGAGATCTACCTCTATAAGCGCCCATAGTTTCTAATAGGGAGCATAAATACAAAGAGTTATTAACACACATTATTGTTACCATCCACCTTTCATTTGTTATTATTACTTTTTATATTTTATTTCTAGCTGGAGGGCATGAATACATAGAACAAGATTAGAATGGACATTTTTGTTGTGAACTCTCTCCATGTATTATCATTCTTTCTCATTTTAATGAAAACATTTTGGTGCTTTATTTAGCCGTGTTATTCAACTTGTGCTATTAACCATATTTACATTATAGATTTAGTGGGCATTAACAAAAAATTAAGTTTAGATATGCCTTTGCATAACAAATCCAGTTTCAATAAGCCAAATCTTATCGTAATTTTGAGCTAATACTATACCAATCTGACAAAAGTCACTAATTCGGCCCCCTATTTTGTGGCACTTGCTAGTTAGTTTTTCGAAAAATGTTTGTTTGGCATCGTTTTAATTGATTAAGCTCTAGTCTTCTAACTAAAGAGACTTATTTTATTTTTTTTTTTTTTTTTTTTTGAAGAAGAAGGCAATTCCCAGTTTAACATTAGCATTGTTTGTTCTAAAATATTGAATGAGAAGAAAAAAAAAAAAAGTACTAAACTCAGGCGGAGATCAACCATTTATTTTTAAAGAAATGAGTTTGGTTGAATTTTTGGACTAGGAACTAATTGCCCTTCAGCTATCTTAAAAATGTAGGACCAATTGAGATAAAGATTACAACTCATCTAATGGTAGAGAAATAAAGGGCAGGAGGGAGCATATGTGACAATCTTATAATCACTTCAAAAATACTCGATTTTGTAATGAGAATTTTTTTTTAAAGATCCTGGATATTAAGATCTTATAAGATAAACGACATACAATACTTTCATAGTAGTTAAGGTTTCTCAATATTTTCATAGAGAAAATTCGACTCAGAGAAACTTTGCCCGATTTAGAAAAATTTTGCCCCGACTTAGAAAAATTTTGCAATTTGCAAGCCAACTTGCAAGCAAGTTGCCATGGACAATTTACCAAATTGTCCCCAAAACTGTGTATAAATAGGGGTTCAAGAAGGGAACAAATTATCAAGTGAGTGAGAAGCAAGAGCAAGCAAGTGAAGAGCATGAAGCCTTCACCAAGAGTCATAAAAAGAGTGTGAGTGAGGAAACCTTTGGAGAGAGACATAGCCTTATAATTTTTTTATTCAATTTAGTGAAAATTTCGTTGTCGTAGACTTAGGCGATATGCCTAACCACGTAAATCTTTATCTGTTCTTGTTTGGTTTCTTATTTGTGTTTGTTTGTGGGCCTTGGGCACAACAAATTGATATCAAGGCACCCAAGTTGCAAAAAAATTGCTCCAAAGCTCTGCTTTTTGAATCTACCATGAAACCAACTTTGTCCGACCAAACTTTTGAATACACCAATTGACAAACTCAAGGCCCAGTTAGCAGAAGAGTTCGAAACGAAGTATCTTGAAGAAGGAAATAAAATTCTTGGTATGGAGATCAAGAGAGATAGAAAAAAGGTACAGTTTGTCTAACACAAACTTAGTATTTGAAAAAAGTGTTAGGCAAATTTGGCATAAATGGGAAAACAAAAGTTGTGAGTACACCGTTGGCCCATCATTTCAAACTTCGTGTTTTGATGTCTCTGCGCACAGAAAAAGAGCTCAAGCTTATGGCTCAGATTACATATGCTAATGCAGTTTGTGCATTGATGTATACTATGGTGTGTACAAGGCCTGAAATCTCACATGTTGTTAGTATGGTGAATAGGTATATGCATGATCTACAAAAAGGTCACTGGCAAGCAGTGAAATGGATCTTAAGGTATATACATGGTACAGTTGATTTGGGATTGAAGTTCTAGAGAGATAGCAGGCCCGGAAAAAATCTGATTGGATCTATGGACTCAGATTATGCTAGTGACTTGGACAAATGCTGGTCGACAACAAGGTATTTGTTTACCCTTGCTAAAGGACCTGCAAGTTAGAGGTCAACGCTTCAGTCAACAATGACTTTGTTTACTACAGAGGCATAGTACATGGCAGTAACAGAAACATTCAAAGAAACCATTTGGCTACATAGATTGGTTGAGGACTTGGAGATTGTACAAGAGCTTGTGGAGGTTTATTGTGACAGCTAGAGTTCCATTTGTTTAGCAAAAAATCCAGTCCATCATTCTCACATCAAGCATATTGATGTCCAATTCCACTTCGTCCGAGAAATAGTAAATGAAGGGGATGTTTTGCTTTAGAAGATTGGTACTGCAGATAATCCTGCAGACATGCTCACTGAGGTGGTATCCGGGACCAAGTTCAAACACTTCTTGGACTTCACCAATATCTCTCTATAGTACGTACCTTCAGGTATAATGCAGTGGACACTAAAGTTGAATGGAAAATCTTCACCAAGGTAGAGATTTGTTGAATAGAGTTAACTCAATTGTGTTAACTCATTGAGTTGGCTCCGATTCAAGAAGAGCAAATGGGCAAGTTGCATATTCTAGAAGCTTTCTAACTTCTTTGCATTGATTTTGGAGAGGCAACTTGCAAGCCAACTTGCAAGCAAGTTGACATGGCCAAGTTACCAAATTATCCCCAAAACTTTGTGTGTAAAAAGGGGTTCAAAGAGGGAACAAATCATCAAGTGAGTGAGAAGCAAGAGCAAGCAAGTGAAGAGCATCAAGTCTTCACCAAGAGTGATAGAAAGAGAGTGAGTGAGGTGAGGTTGAGAGAGAGAAATAGCATTGTAATTTCTCTATTCAATTTAGTGAAAATTTTGCTGCTCATTCGATCTAATGAACCACGTAAATCTTTGTGTGTTCTTGTTTGGATTCTTGTTTGTGTGTTTGTTTTTGGGCCTTAGGCACAACAGGAACAACGAAGGCAATGAACGATGAGGAAGAACTGAAACGCCATTGAGAGATCTCTGTACTTAGATTACTAGAATTAAAATTGTGTTCCCAAATCCTATTGCGTTGGACCTATCTGCTTGGCTGAATTACCACAGGTAGAACTCGAACCTCACCGGAAACCACCACAGGTGCGGTGGCTGCACCAAAAGCTAGCTTTGGGATGCTCTATTCTCTACATTGCATTTGGGTCTCAAGCTGAGATATCACCAGAACTGTTCAATGAGATCAAAACTGGATGGGAAAAATCAAAAGTGAATTTTTTGTGGTTGTGAGGAGGAATGAATTAGAACTTGGTGATGGGTTCAAAGAGAAAATGAAAAAGAGAGGAATGGTGGTGAGAGAATGAGTGAACCAAAGAGAGCTACTAGAGCACGAGAGCGTTCAAGGGTTTCTAAGTCACTACGGTTGGAACTTAGTGTTGGAGAGTATATGCACAAAGGTTTCGATATTGGAGTGGCCGATGATGATGGAATAACACCTGAATACGAGGATGGTGGTGGAGGAGATGAATGTGGGTTTGAGGGTGGAGACATGGAATGGATTGATAAGAGAGTTTATGAAGTGGGAAGGATTGAAGAAGATGGTGGACGAGTTAATAGTAGGGAAGATGAGGAAGAAGGTAAAGGAGGTAGGAAGCATCGCCATGAAGGCGATGGAGGAAGGTGGGTTGTCGTGGTGGATTTTAATTTTTTGTTGATCAACTCGAATGTGATTCCTACTCTGAATTTGGATTTGGATTCAAATTTGGGTTTGGATTGGAGATCGTGATTAGAGTAGAGAGAGAGAGAGGAGATGAGAAAAGAGTGGGTTTGTAAAGAAATGTGATTATTCAGTATTCTCGGAGAATTTGAACTGATATATATATATATATAGAGAGAGAGAGAGAGAGAGAGAGACTGAGATGGGTTTGATTATAAAGAGTTCAACGGACACCATGTGTTGATCATGGGCAGCTTGGTCTTTTCGTTAAAACATGTCCTTATGAACACAGTATTTTAGGCGTGGATTTTTGGACAAAAAAAATCTAAATTTGGTTTATGATCTGTGCACCTTAGTTTATTCACATGTCCCTCATATATATATATATATATATATTTGTTATTTTTTAATAAATTCCCTTTCTAAGTGTTTTTGTTTTTGGTTTTGTTTTTGTAGGTATTTCTAAGTGCTTTATTCCATCTAACTCATTTTTTGTTTTTAAATAAATATTCCATTAGGTCCTGTGTAATATAATATGACCAAATTACCCTTTTAACTGTTTGTATATATTTCCATTTTGAAAATAATACAATAAAAAATAACAATAGTCCCTCATTTTATGGAGAAAATCTCTTCCTCATTTTATGAAAAAATATTTCCCTTATTCCATGGAGAAAATCTCTTCCTTATTCCACAGAGAAAATTTCTCACGTTTCTAAAATCTTAAATTGTCTATCTTCTGAAAATCTCTCATTAAATATTGATGGAAGCTTTCACACTATAAATATATGCTGGTAAATAATATTCCCTCATAGAAGCATACACACACTTAATGTTTTATGAGTGTGTGAACATCAACATTGGTTGCGACTATCTATTTGTATTACAAAATTAATGTGCACACTCACATCTTTATATATACACTATGTTTGTGACCAAAATAACTCATTGTTCTTTATGCTAGTATGACTATTTTTTAATGTGAATATTAACACATTATTGTTTGCACTTATATGACTATTCATGAATGCAAATATTCATATTGATTAATGATGTGATGATCCACAACAAGTAATGACTCCATACAATGTGAACATTCACACTATATAATAATCATGCAAAAATCATACAAACTCATAAAATAATTAGTGATATGTAAACATTCAAATTATAGATGCGAATAGTCATACAATAATCAATGATTTAAGTGGATGTGAATATTCACATTCACTGGAATACCCAACCAATAAGTATACACACACTGATACATAATACCATATCAATTCATTTCGAAATAAAAAGTTGAATCCAACTTTAATCAATTATTGAATAATTCTAAACATACACAAATATTATTGAACATAAATCCCTATCAAATACATATCTACATACATTTGCAAAACAAAAATGGTGCTAACCTTCATCCAACAATTCTAAACTTCGAAACCCCAACAATGAAAGAAAATAGAATTTCAAAGTCGCAACAATAGAAGAATATAATATTCGAATGTTCTCTACCCTTTGTCCAATAATTTTGAACTTCAAAACCGCAATAGTGGAAGGAAATAGAGCTTCAAAATTGTAATAATGGAAAAAAAAAAGAACAAAAAAAAAAAAGAATTTCGAAC